AAAACTGAAGGGGTTTGGGCAGACCAGAATGAGTTGACAGATTATCCTACTATGGAACTCCATTGCTAGGTGATCACAACCCTCATCCTGCTGTCGTGGATTGCTGTGGATCCTGATCCCTCCTCACGTGGATGAGAGCTCAGTTCATTTTGATTCAGTTTATCAAGCATTTACTGAATGTTTATGAAGAAAGCTCCAGGGATGAGTGCAATGAGGAAGTTGACAGGTAATAAGTTCCTTGTTCAAGGTTACTCTGACAAATTAAAAAGTTTCCTCTCCAAAAACAGTTCTGATTTGCTTTCCAACTTTTCAGTTCTATTATTTCTACTCCTGCAGGCTCATGGAACTCTGAGTGAAAGTGGGCTAAAAACAGAGCCAGGCATTGTGCCTCATGTCTGTAATCCCAGCTATTCCAAAGGCAGAAATCAGGAGGATGGCAGTTTGAGGCCACCTCCAGGCAAAAAGTTAGAGAGACCCTATCTCAATGAAAAAGCTGGGTGTGGTGGTGCATGCCTATCATCCCAGCTGTACAGGATGCTTAAGTAGAAGGATCATGGTCCAGGTCAGCCTGGGCAGAAGTGAGACCCTACCTGAAAAATACCAAAGCTCCGGGTGCCGATGTTCACACCTGTAATCCTAGCTATTCAGGAGGCAGAGATCAGGAGGATGGTGGTTCAAAGCCATCCAGGGCAAATAGTTCAAGAGACCCTATCTCAAAAAACCCAACACAAAACAGGGGTAGTGGAGCGGCTCAAGTGGTGGAGTGCCTGCCTAGCAAGCTTGAGGCCCTGTGTGTAAATCCCAGCACCACCAAACAACAAAACCCAAAGATAATCCAGTGGAATTATGATCACTTAGCAAGAATTTATGGAAGAAGACAAATATAAGAAGATACTACTGCCCTATTTTGGAGGGGAAATTTGTAAGAAAAAATTTTTATATAAGGAACGTGTAGACTCAAAAGACACTGTGCAAATTCTTTTAAGGAAGACCTATTAGCTGAAATGATTCAGGATGTTAAGAACAGAGCTGGCTGGTTTTAAAGATGGAGGGCAGTAAACACTTGTAAGCCTCGTGTTTTATGGGTCACCTTTTCAAAGTGGCTCAGTAAGTGATTAAACTGTGGTGATGACAGAGACACACAAGAAAAACAACTGTCAGCGTCGCTAGAATGGTTGCTCATGGGCCAGGCTAACACTTTCAATGGTATATTTTTATTGTGGTAAAATACGCATGACATGAAATTACCCTTTAGCCATTTCATTTATTGTGGTAAAAACCAGATACAACCAAATTTAGCATCTTAGGGCTGGGACTGGTGTTCAATGGTAGAGTTTGCCTAGTATGCACATGGCCCTGTGTTCCATCCCCAGTCCTCGCCTCCCTCCACTGCCAAAAATTCACCATTTTTACTGTTTTACAGTAGGGTCACATCAACTATGTGACGTGGTTGTGCAATGCATCTTTGGAACTTTTTTCTGTGGTGCTGGGGCCTCACACTTGCTAGGTAGGCGCTCTACCACTTGAATCACTCCCTAGCCCTTTTTTGTGCTGGGTGTTTTCGAGATAGGGTCTCACACACTATTTGCCCTGGCTGACCTTGAATCTGATCTCTGCTCCTGAGTAGCTAGGATTATAGGCATGAGTCACCAGAGCCCAGCCCTATTTTCAATTGTTTTGGATATATACCAAATAGTAGGATTCCTGGATCATATATAATTCTCTTTTTAATTTTTAAAGGAACTTCTATACCGTTTTCCATAGCAGCTGCACTATCTTATACCCTTTAACCAATTTTCTTTTTCAGACAGGGTCTTGCTATGTAGCCAGGCTGCCCAGGGCAGCCTGGACTGCAATACTCTTATTTGTGCTTTCCTGAGTAGCTGGGGTGACAGGTATGTGCCACTGTGCCCAGTCATTGGTTAAAATGGGGTCTCAAGAACTTTTGTCCAAGCTGACTTTGAACAGCAGTCTTCCAGATCTCTGCCTGCTAAGTAACTAGGATTACAGGCTTGAGGCACTGTGCCTGACCAAAACATTCTTTTAAATGACCCAATATTCTTTTGCTTGTACACTAGCACATTTTGTTAATCTACTCATCTGGTCTTCTTCTTCTTCTTCTTCTTCTTCTTCTTCTTCTTCTTCTTCTTCTTCTTCTTCTTCTTCTTCTTCTTCTTCTTCTTCCTCCTCCTCCTCCTCCTCCTCCTCCTCCTCCTCCTTCTTCTTCTTTTTTTCTTTCTTTTTTGAGAGAGGTTCTTGTTAGGTAGTCCAGGCTGGCCTTGAACTTAGAGTCCTCCTGGTGCAGCTTCACAAGTGCTGGGATTATAGGCATTTAACATTATGCCTGGATTTCATTCATTTGTGGTGGACACTTGTATGGCATCTGTCGTTCAGCTTTTGTGAGTAATGTTGCTATAAACATGAGCGAACCGCTTGTCTTTGCTGTCAGTTCTTTTGGGAATGTAGCTAGGAGTGGAATTAGTGAGTTACACAGTAACTCAGAGACATTTGAATCCATCATTGAAAAGGTACGGACCCCCTTGTCCAGCGATGCAATAGTGGTTACCAACAAGCTTTGGATTGGATGTCTTTAGGTTAGTGTCCACCTCCTGAGCCAATCAGCTGTGGCCAGGAGTTATGTGATACCAAATGTAGCATGCAGCACAGGTGGTGTGGATTCCTTCACAAATGAGTATGGGTGGGGCAAGCTATGATTGACGCTTGAATATGAGAGCAGAAGTAAGTAGCCGTGAATTGATTGATACAAGCCATCACTGTGTCAGGCACAGTGATGATGCTCAATCAATGAATAATAAGTTGGAGTTTCACTATCACCCTACTTTAGTTGGATTTGGAATGGCCCCCAAAGACTGACATCCTGAAGGCTGTTTTCCCAGCTGGTGGCACCATTGGGGGTGTCGAAAACCTTAGGAGGAAGTAGGTCACTAGGAGTGTGCTTTTGAATGGTATATTCAGACTCCAGACTCTCCCTCTGCACATCATAGCAGAAATGCATGGGACAGAAGAGCTGTTCACTTCATGGCAGCTAGGAAGGATATCTCTCTCTCTCTCTCTTCTCTTCCTTTCCTGGCTTTTCTGTCCCATGCATTTCTGCCATGATCTGCTGCCTCACTACAGGCCTGAAATCACTGGGTTAAGGGACCATGACTGAAACATCTGTAACTGTGAGTCAGAATAAACCTTTCCTCCTTTTAAGATGTTTATCTCAGGTATTTTGTTACAGTGATGTAAAGATGACTAACACACACTTTAATTGGTTTTCTCAACTTTCAGTTTATTTCAAGTTATCCAATGCTTCAACAACTCAGATTTCTCTTACTATATCCACAAAGATGATTTATTTAGAGAATCGCAAAGAAAACCTTGCATTTAAGGGTGCAGGCTCTGGAGACAGATGGGGTTTTAAGTTCAGACTCTTATGTCTGAGTGGCCTTGTGCAAGTTGTTTGCTCTACTGTGAGATTTGTTTCCTCATCTGTAAAGTGGAGATAAAAATTATACCCACTTCACAGGAATGTTGGGATCCACAGGATCAGCAAAGGAGAACCTCATGCCCAGGTGCTTGGTACACACACAACTCTGGAGTTTCAAGGTTCTTTTTGTGTGTGGTTCTTTTGCTTGTCTGTTTGTCTTGAACTTGGTAAGAAATTGTGATGTGTTTAATGTGAAATGGTTTCCAGTTCTTAGAGTGGTTTCCTAGTAGACTCTCCTAACTCCTCCCCCTCTTTGTCAACACTAAAGTAAAAAAAAATTGTTTTTCTTTTTGCAGTACTGGAGTTTGAACTCAGGGTCTACAATTTGACTCACTCCACCAGCCCGTTTCTTGGTGATGGGTTTTTCCGAGATAGGATCTTGCAAACTATTTGCCTGGGCTGGCTCAAATTACAAGCCTCCTGATCTCTGCCTCCTGAGTAGCTGGGATTATAGGGATGAGTCACTGGTACCTGGCAAAAATTTCCTCCTTCCTTTACTTCCCTGGGAGCCTCCACTCAGTCATCACATACTTCTGGCCAGCTGCCATCACGGGTCATCTTTGTAGTTTTCTGTTGAATAATTTCTCTTCTTCAGTTGTTCTCACTAGACCAGTGCTTTTCACTCTGGGCTGCTGGGGACCTTTTATAAATGCCCAGGCTCTGGTCCACCTCCAGACAGTCAGGTTCAATTGATCTGGGGTGGAGCCAGTGATTGTTATATATAATTGAGAACCATCCATTCTACAAATTTACTGAGCACCTTCTGTTCTATGTCCTGGGGATACATCAGTGAACATTTATGAGCTTAAATTACAAAGGAGGACAGAATTCTAGTGAGAAGAGGGTGGGGGAGCCATTGAACTCAGTAGGAAGGACTTTGAAGGGCTTGTCACTGTCCATTTTCAATTCGCCAGAATCAGGGCTGTAGAAATCACTCCATAATGCTTGTTGAATGAATGAATGAATGGAGCCACATCTCTAGTCCTTTGTATTTTGTTTTCAAGTTAGGATTTTGATAACTTTGTACATGGTGGCCTTGGATTTGCCATCTCCTGCTGGGATTACAGAGGTGCACCACCATGTTGGGCATCTCATACTTAACCATACATTTATTTTTTTCTAGATTCATTTCACTAGCTCTTCCTCTCCATGATGACAATGATAGGTTCAACTTGTTCTGTCACAAGCCAAGTGCCTATTCCAGTGCCTGGCACACAGTAGGTGCCCACTAACTAGTATTTTAATGCACGAATACATTTTTTTTTTTTTTACAAAAGTCGCACCTTGCTTTTGTTATAGCAACCTGGGCTTCTTGCAAGAGCATCCTTAGCGAATCCCCACAGGTAAACACGTTAGAGGCGTCCTCTGGCAGAGGGTGCGCACTGGTGCCTGACAGCCATTTCCCTGGCTGGTGGCGCCCGCAGGCATCGCGGAGAGGCTGCAATCCCGGGGAGCAGGAGGCTCCCCGCCCCTCCCATCCGCCCCCAGTCCCCGCGGTCCCCGCGGTGGCTTTGTCTCGTGGGCCGGTGGCTGGCGGCTGCCTCCCCGGGAGGAGGGGAGGAGAGGCGGCGGGGAGCTGTCCAGCGCCCCGGTGCTGAAATCCCGAGGCTCGCGCGGCGCTACCATGTAAGGGCCATGAGCAGGGCTGGCCCTGGCGCAGCGCGGACATGGAGGAGGACCTGTTCCAGCTCAGGCAGCTGCCGTGAGTACCGGGGGCCTCTCACACACGAGAGCTGCGGGTGCCTGTCTGCATGGCTTCTCGAATTCAAAGACAAGAAGGAATTAGGCCTGGAGGAGAAAAGCCATCTTCTCCCCCGATCCCCCGCAGCCGGCCCAACCTCTGCTTCTCTGACTCAGTTCGGGGGGATCGGATGGGGAGCCATGGGTGTCATGTTTTCCCTTTTAATTGCTCGCAATCCTAAAGGGATTTTTGAGGTCCATGCATGAAAAAAGCATTGGTTGCTGTTTGGGATCGTGGGTGAATTGCTGAGTGCATGCAATAACACACTGGTCCTTTCAGCCCATCTCCCATCATGGGAAATTGCTAATTTTTCTGCAAGGTCTTTTGGAAAGGAAAGGTGTGAGGTTGCAAACTGCTGGGGTTCCTTCCTAGAGGAGAGGCTGGGGCGAAGTCCTGTTGTTTATGGAGTGTGTGAATGAGAGGACTGTGCACGGTCACCGAAACCTCTTGCCTTTTGAATGAAAGGTTCTGTAACAGCCAGCAAGTGAGGCTCGGTGTAAGGATAGGAATTTTTCTGGTTTACCAAATTTGCGTGGAGAAGCTCAAAGGAAAAAAAAATAGTAAGTCAGTGCAAAGGGCAGAGGCCTTGTGGAAGGGGCTTACGGATTTTCCTCACCACAACAGATGGTGTTTTGTTAAGCTAATTCCAAGACTAGGCGAGGGGGGCATTAAAAAGAGTGTTTCTGGCGGTTCTATTTTAATTTTTAGAAACACTGGCCACTTGACTGGTAAAAGTAGATTCCATTTGGGCTCGTGGGAAAGGAGACATTATTGTTGGTGTGTGTGTGTTGTCTTGACTTTAAAAAAATGGTGTGTTTTTCCCTCAAAGCTACTGAGGAATTCTCCCAAGTGACTTTTGGTGTGACTGACATGGTTCTCTGAAGCTCAGAGTACTGAGGGGGATTGTAATGTTTACTTTTCAATCAGTATAAAATTAATCTTCATTTAAAATTTTTAATTAAATGTAAAATTTACTCTGAAGCTTTTATTAATTGATCTGCAAATAGCATAATTTATGAATACAGCTTTATGTCACAAATGTTAAAAGATTCCTACTTGTGACATCCTGAGATGGACGCATGAGTATATAAAAATGCAAATGTCTGAGTAAATATTCAAGGACAACACACCAAGTTCATTGAGAACAAATATCATGTTCAAAAACCAAACTTTTATCTCCCAATAAGAATAATGCAAAAAAGCAGAAATAGAAAATTTGCTGCTCCATATAAGAATATATGTTGTAGCTTCAGTTTTCGCATAATACATTTTCAAGCAATGTCAGAATATTTGAACTTTGAAAAAGGTTTATGAACTTTAATCTACTAATATATGTAGACATGACACCATCCTAACACTTCTTTTCTTAATTAAAAAGGAGTAAAAACAGGGAGCAGTAGGTGTGGCTCAGTGACAGAGCACTTGGCTTTCATGTGCTGGTGGGTTCGATCCCCAGCACCATCAAACAAATAAAACAATAAAAATAGGATGAGTTTTTTTTTTTGCTTACTTAAATTTGTTAAATTAATTCATTTAAGCCAGACATGGTGGGATATATCTATCATCCTAGCACTCAGGAGGATTGTGAATTTGAGACCCTATCTCAAAATAAATTAATAAACAAATAAAATGAAAATAAATTTAGGTTTTAAAATGAACATATTATATAAATACACATATGTAAATAAATATAATAAACAAAAAACGTTCAAAGATAAGACCAAGAATCAAATAGTAACTCTCCTCTTTCTCAATCCTAATCCTATTCCCCTGAGTAGTTTCATTTTTTTTGAACTCAGGGCCTCATGCTTGCTAGGCAGGCATTCTACCACTTGAGCCACTCTGCCAGCCCTCTCCACCCCAATTGTTTCTTTTTTTTTTAAATGTTTTATAGCTATGAACATATGCAGTATCTGTTAGAGAGGGTAAATTGTTTACTGTTTGAGAACATTGGCTCTGAGTCAGACAGACTTGGGTTCAAATCCTGAAACTTCCCAGCTGAGTAATGTTAAATAAGTGAGTTAACCTTTCTGAGACTCAGTTTCTGCAGCTATAAAATTGGTATCATGGGATCAGTGGTATAGCTCAGTGGCAGAGTACAGGTTTAGTGTGTTCGAGGCCCTGGGTTCTATCCCCAGCACAAAAAAATCACTATCAAAATAGTACTTGACTTAGATGGTTATTGTGAAGATCAAGGAGATGATATGTGCTAAATGCTTGGCAGGCATGAAGAACTCAGCACTTCTCAGCTATTTATAATAGTATCACCAATCATTATTACTATTTTTTAAATTATATCTGAAGCATCACGTACAAAAATAAAATACATAGATTTACTATTGCTAGATTCCCAACTATTGTAATTTGAAAACTCCAAGCTACATTTTTTTTTCTTTTTTGGTGGTACTGGGGTTTGAACTCAGGGCCTCACACTTGCTAGGCAGGCACTCTACCACTTGAGCCACTCCACCAGCACCCCACCAAACTACAGTTGAATGAAATGTGTTGACCTCAATTTATTAAAAAAAAAAAAAAAAGAGGAGTAAGCTAAAAGCCATGTGAATCTGAGTGGGTTACAAATCACGACTTAGATGTTTTTAAACCATACCCTGCATACATTATGCACAGATTGCAGGCAGCAGATTTCCTGAGAGCAATATGGTTAAAAAAAAAAATCTGAGTCCCTTGTAGATGGTTGGCAGGAGTGGACTTTGGAACAGATCTGTCCCGTGGGAGGCCAAGTGTTAACAGATCATAAGCTGCTAAATAGTTACAGGGTCAGGGGAAGGGCAAAGACGATGAGGGTGCCTAAGAGAACAGTCCTTTCTTGCGCTTGGAGCCACCTTCACACAAGTCTGGGATGGTTCATTTGAGACTGAAAATAACCCTTGGCTTTCACTTGCTGGTCACTCAGGGATGGTATCATGTATAGGAGATTTGATCAGGTAGTGTGCACTACTGTGCAAGTCAGGCTTTTTTGGATCTCTTGTTGCGGGATTTTTTTTTTCATTGCTGGGAATAGAACTCAGAACCTCACACATACTAGGGAAGCACTCTTCCACTGAGCCACAGCCTCAGCCCTTGGGTGGTTTCTTGAAAGCAAGTTTTGTAGACCTTGTGAAAGACAAGGATTGCTTGTGGTCTAATTGATGGATTCATCCATCCATGTACCCATCCATCCATCCATCCATCAATCCATTCATTCAACAGTTTACTTGGGTACCATCTTCAGTACAAAGGAGTCTACAACTGAGTAACTGAGTAAGAAAGAATGGTCCTTGCCTAAGAGTTCACATTCTTGAGTTTCAGTGTCCAATATGGCAGCCATTGACTGTATGTGGCTATTTAAAGTTAAACTTAAGTTAATTTAAATTATGTACTTTATAAATGAAATAATTTATATAGTATAATATAAATACGTTCAAAAAATCAGTCCCTCAGTCATTTCAACAGCTCACATTTCATATGTTTACCACATGTCAAATGCTCCATAGCTCTCATCACTACCAAGTAGACAGAAGTCTAGAACCTTCCATAATTGCAATAGCTTCCTCAGTTCTGTGGTACAGCACTGGTCTTGTGGAAGAGGTGGACACTGAGCACACAGTTATACATGGTTTCAATCGTCTCAAGTGCTCTCGAGGACAAGGACAGTGCAAGGAGGCTGTTCTAGAAAGGGAAGGGGGAGGATTGGACAAGGCTTCCTTGAGGAAGGGACATTTGAGCTGAGTCCCCAGAGATGTGCAGGAGTCATCCAGAAAAAAAGCCATGGGTTGAGGAACATTCCAGGCAGATGGACCTTGATGGAGAAAAACCCTGGAATAGAAAAGCTTCATGAACCTCAAAATCTCCCAGTGGAGCCTAAGGAATTGCAGTTCGAGGGCAGACCACAGAGGACAGAGGGGACCAGGCCACACAGGGTCTTGTGGTAAGTGAGGAGGAGTTAGGACTTCGTCCTGGGTTTGCTCCATCCACTTTTTTCTTTCTTACAAACCGTGTCTTTTGAGATTGAGCCCAAGTCCAACACTTTAACGAGCCTCCCCCTAACTTCCGCTATAGTCAGGCCCTGGCTCTGCCACTTGCCATCGGTGTGGACTTGGACCAGCACTTCCTCTACCCAAGACTGGTGCTCATCTGTAACATCTGGCGTGTGACTGGATCTGCTGGTTGGGCCATTGCAAGGAGCAGGGCCTGCTACGGGTACAGGCAATAAAGGGTGCTTATTCTCACGACCTGTACAAGCTCATCCTAGGAACCTAACTGGGGGCTACGGGAGATTGAGAAAGGACAAAAGACAAACATGCAAAAAGCTGGGATCAGGTGGGCTGGGTGCTCTGGCGGAGACACACAGCAGCTTCCACCACCTCCAGCGAGTTTATTATACATAGCGCCAAACAAGGAAGTGGGATAGCCAAGTCCGAAGAGCAACTGACCTTGTAGTTATCAGGAACAGGGGGATCCTGCGATCGATACTTTCTGCATGTACTGTTCCTGTCTGAAGGTCATGTTCTTATTCTTATGCAACGCAGCTGTGCTGCATTTTGCCCTCCCCCCGTTCTGCAGCTGGGGGGCTGTGCCAATCCCAGCCTACAGATGATTTGACACTCATGTTGCCTCTCTTCCGCCACACTGGCTTTCTTCCCCAGATCCTCCACTTGTTCAGGTAGGGAAGCACCTGAAAGCCATTGTCTTCTTTGCAGAACACCAGAAAATGTCTAAAGTGGTGTGATGGCATATGTCTGCTCTTGAACTCTCTCCTTTTTTTTTTTGGTCTCTTTTTGGCTGGGGTTTGAATTCAGGGCAGAAGCTTTACCACTTGAGCTATGCACCTAGCCTGAACTTGAACTCTTGATCCCTGCTCCATTCTGCAACACTTTGAGCCTCCTCCACTGCAATTGGTGGTTGTTCCATCTGCCTCATTTGGGCCCCAAACTTTAGAATCAAGGTAGATGCCTATCTCC